TTAAATAATTTCCAAATTTTTTAAAAATTAAAATATTTTATTTATATATTAAAAATTTTAAATTTAATGATTAAATTATTAAAATTTAATATAAAATATGAATTATTAAATAAAGTAAATTTATATAAAATTATTATATAAAAAAAACTTATTATTGAAGTAAAGCGCTCCTCTATTATATATTATGAGAAGATTGATTTAAGTATACTTTTACATAATGCAATAATTTATCGTTTTCGACCCAAATGACAAAGTGAATGTGGGCTTCCTTGGTGGTTTTTTCAAGATTCTGCCGAACTTCCACAACAAAGTTTTGTCTCTTTATCGATAAATTCCAAAAGGAAAGATATATAATATATTTCGATTTAAAATTTCACTTACTATATAAACAATGAAATTAACTTCACATACACGTTGTTCAAGAGTTGACTCAATTCTTTCTATACTTAACAATGGAGTGTGTGATTTGGGTCACGGGGCGGGGGGACGCGGTTGTGATATTAGATGAAAATAGTAAAGAGAATAGTTGATCTTGTGCAATATTTATATGTTTAACAAAGTGTGTTTGAATAATGTGTGAGTTTAATTTTTTATAAAAATAATTATTGATCTAATTTTACTAATTTCTTGGTTGAAATAGATTAATTCAAGACGAAATTTATAATATTGGTGTCGAATAAAAAATATAAATCAAAGGTTAAAAACATACTGTTTTTAAGGTTAATTTAAAAAATTAAGTTTAATTTAACTTAATTTTCTTATTACAGTAAAAAGAGGAATGAACTTCGCATTTAGTTGTCCATGACTTGACTCATTGCTTTCTTTTTCTTGACAACGATTTTGTTTGGCGGCGGGGTAACACGGTTATGATATTAGATAAAAATTAATTGAATATAATTGAATTTTTCGATAAGAATGATGTTCTGATATTAATTCACTTTGAATTGTTGTTTGTATTAACTTTGTCATCACCTAGAAATTAGATTTTGTCTTATCCTTCGTATTGAACAGTATCCCTTCAACTCATTTTCTTTTTTCTTCATAGATAAGATTAGTCTAAAGTATTAATCCCGAAATTAAAGAGCCAACAACATCAAATACAATTGATAGATGGTTATTTTTTAAAAAACTTAATAATATGAATTTGGTTTTCTAGTAGCACGTATAGATCCTGTTCCGAAAAAAGTAGTACTTTATATAGACAAAATCAGACTAACAATTAGTGAGATATAAAATAAATTTTAAAATATAATTTTTCTTCTTTAAATAAAAAATGTTAGATCATTTTGTAGGTCTTCTTATTAATATATGTAATCTTTTTCCTTTATAAAAATTAATAACAAATAATTTTTTTTAGAAAATTTAAATTTTAATAGCTTTATTTTTGAACCGCCTTATTAAATAGATAATATTTTATTGAAAAAGACAAAATTTACTTTTTAGTCCTTTATGTCTTAAAAAAATTAGTCTTTAATTATCTATTGAAAGATATTATTATTTTGCATAAAGAATAAATCTCTAAATTAAAGAATATTGGTACTATTATGAACTTGATTAAAAGGTATAAAAAAATGTATGTATATATATATATTAGCGTACAAATAAAGTTTCACATTATTAGATCATGAGGGGAAAATAAAAATTTATAAAGAATACATAATCTCTATTAGTATGGAGTTTTTTGAGAGATAACCAAAAGTAAAATCATAAAGATTTAGGTCTAGAGTGGACAAGTATTTGACAATGGGAGGCGATGGATCCAAGTATGGGTTCTCTTATGTCGAAAGTCTCTTTGATGGTGTGAAGGTTAGGTAACGTGTTCCATTGATGTGAGCTACCGGTGGTGCAAGTATCTAGAGTTGTCAGGTGTGATTAAAGTTTTAAGGGCTACCATTACATACTCAAATAAAAAAAAAGTATATAGAATCGACAAGTGTGGCTGAAGTTCTAAGGGACACCATTGCATACTCGTAGATGAAAAAAAAGTAGTATCTAAAGTTGATAGGTGTGACTAAAGTTCTAAAGGCCACTATTGCATACTTGTAAATGAAAAAATAAAAAGGTCTTCGTTGAAATAATGTTAAATCATGATCCTTTGTTTGAGAGGAGATTTGTTGGGGTACAAACAAAGTCTCAAATCATTGGATTATGAGAAGAAAAAAAGGTTTATAAAGTACACATAGTCTCAAAGTCTCTATTTGTATGAAACCTTTTGGGAGATGACCAAATGTAAAACCATAAGAATTTAGATTTAAAGTGGACACTATCATGCTATTGTAGAGGCATGTGTGTGTGAATCTTGGATAACCAATAACACTTTTGGAAAATGACTAAAAGTAAAATCATAAATATTTAGATCCAAAGTAGATAATATAATGTCATTGTATGTGTAAACCCTAGATAACCAATAATACTTTTAGGAAATAACCAAAAGTTAAATCACGAGGATTTAGATCTATAGTGTTGTAGAAATATGCGTGTGTAAACCCCAAACAACCAATAATACTTTTGGGAGATAACAAAAAATAAAACTATAAAAATTTAAATTCAAAATGAACGATATCATATAATTGTGAAGGCGTGTGTGAACCCCAAACAACCAATAATACTTTAGTAAATTAAAAAAAAAGTACAAGATAAAATAATTGACAAAATGAAATATACAAATAACTATTGATTAAAAAGTTAATAATAAAAAATTAAATTAGTTATAAAGTTGTGTATTTAATTATTAATTGTTAATCAATAATTGCACACATTTTATTTTATTGTTTAAATTTAAAGTATATTACTTCACTTCAAAGTTAAAATTCCCGTGGAAGATTCATGTCCTATTTAAAAAATATATAATTAATGAAATGAATCCGCGTGAAATGAAGGAACATGCACAATTGCACATTATTGTTTGGATTTGCCCATCTGGTAACTTTAGAATTTAGATGGGGACATCTAATTGATTTGACCATCCAAGATTGATTCAGACAAAAATTAGTAACGTATCATGACCGGGTGGAACGAAGATGATGATCAAGAAATTTCATGGGTAAAAGTCTCGCATGCGAGGTGTTTGTTTCACAATAATATATTTTTTAAAATACGATTTTTGAGAATCATGTAATTAAAAGCATTATTTTTTAGAATAGTTAAAAAAATTTGATTAAATTTAAACATTTATAAGAATATTTTAAATTTTAAAATTATTAAATTAAAAAAATTATAATGAAAATTATAGTTGAATTAAACAATAACTTCTCATATCTTTATAAAAAAATAAAAAATATATATAAAAAAAACTTCTCATATTTTTATCGGTAATATAATTTTTTCACTTTTTTTTATCATAGAAATCAAATGACTTAAAATATGTGATAATTATTCTTTAAAAAAGTAAATAATATTTAGAAATAAGATTTTTAAACTTGTAACAAATATAAGGTTTATATTTTTCTAAATTCATATTTCCAATAATAACACTTTAATCTGTGAAACAATTACCTCCTAATTATAGTTTCAAGAGCGAGGTCTCTATTAGAATTGTTGGTATTCTAATATAATTTTATTGTTCTTCCCTTACTTGTGAATGAGAATTTTCTTCGTGATTATAATTTTGTAATTTCCCCCTTTTACACAAACAAAAGTGTCAACTGAAAATGGATTGTTGTGCAAGATTGCTGGCAATAGTATCCATTAATATTCCTGTCAAGTGCATGGAAATCATTAGGCAATTTCCTACGTTCGTTCTGGGGGAAATTCATGGAATGAGCGGCTTTGAATCTTATTTTATTCTTTAAAAAAAAAAGGGATAGAATTGTAGATAAACTAGCTACTAATGTGAGCTATATAATAAATGCTGGGGAATAATTTAGATTAATTTCTTCAATAAGTTAGCTAAGCTAAAGTCTATTTCGAGCCCTTGAGTTTCATTTCATCTATTTAAATAAATATAAACAATATAATAATTGATATTGTTATTATTATAGTATATTATAATATTATCAAGAGGGTAGTTGAATAAAGTTAGAGTGCTGTAAATCTCATTACCGTGTTTCATTACCTTGGATAAAAAAGGATATTATTATAATATTTTGTGATTGTATAGTTATTTATTTGTTTAAAGATATATTTTTATATTTAAAATTTGATTTAAAAAACCTTATTATAAAGTAGGCTTTTATATTAAATATTAACATAAAAAATAAATTTTTTAAAGGAGACTTAAAATGAGTGTCTTGTTGACTTTGTCATTGGGTCAACCCTATACACATCACTTAAAAAAACTCCAAAATGACATGGGGTCTTGAGTTTCAATTTAGGTCCCCTTTTCTTCCCATGATTCACATGTTTCTCTTGAGTCTTAACTATTAAACACGAACCTAAAATTCGTACAATAGGATTTGTTTGTCGATGTTGAAACTTGCTCACTACTAGTTTCTTTGATCGACATCTCCCATTGCTAGGTCGTTTTCATTGTGACATTGTGTTTTCGAGCTTTTGAAGAAGGTTCTTTCTCATTTTCCTTATGTATGTTTTTCTCTCCTATTTGCATCCCATTTATTTTTATTCAATCCATAAATACACTTATATACTACAATTTTTATATTAGAGGATTAGACATAGAGACTTGAAGACTAGTCTTTTATTAGTTTTTTATTTGTTGTCATTTTAAGAACTTGTATCTTGTTTGAAATTATACATGATTTGCTACTTTATTATTGTAATTTGCTATTTTACTTTAATATGAAGTTAAAATGTCAAGTTATTATGTTATTTACAAGTATTTTAATATATATATATATATAGGGACGGATCCATTTGTTGGAGAGTGGGGGCACTTGCCCCCACTACTATTTCATACATACATAATTTTTTATTTTAAAAAATAATATATTTTAAAAATAAAAATTATATATTTAAATTATCATATGTATAAAATATAGATTCGGAGAAAATGTTTATTTATTTGATATCTATCAAACTTTTAAAGGAGATTAATTCTCTTATATGATAAATAATACTTCTTAATAAC